CGTATAACAATAAGGTCTTCCAGCAGCCCGAGATTACCCAGATACATACGTGCATAGTATGTAAACACAATGCATATGCAGGGTGGTATTTATTTACTTGGTAACTCGAGACCATGTCGTCATATAGATTACTCGCTTTATCAATGCAGCCTCCCGTTTTACTTTTATTACATTTTTATTGTGGCCCACAAAAGTTTCCATTGCACATCTATAGCTTTAGTATTTAGTATATATGTTTCATATGTGCGATGTGCAAATTGAACTAGCAGGTCAGGCGAGGACATATTGGGGCCATCGGGCCGAGATACAGACACATTCTTTGTGGATGCAATCTGCTGCACTTCTAAAGCTTCCACTGGGGCCGACTGTCATCCGTCATCTGGCTAGAGAAGTCTCGGGAGTGGGGAGCCAGAAGCCCCGTTCTCGGTTCCAATTACACTCAATTACTGAAGTCGCTCCTAGGAGCTGCGATCTCAATTGCTAAAAGGCTGGAAGTTATTTTTGGAACCTTAATTGGAATTGCCAGCGGATGAGTCAGGCCCAACTATGGCAAATTCATCAGAAATCAGTTTGAAAGGTGCAATATATTCCGCAAATGAAATAAATTTGCAGAATAAACCGCTCCGAACCAGCTTCAACTCAAATCGCAATCAAACGAGTCGAGCATTTGCTTTCGCCATTAATCCATGCTGTAATCTTAATTGCCGCGACGCTCGGCAAAGTGCATGTGGCACTATATAGCATGTAGGATAGGATAGTCCCAATTCTGATTCCTGAACACGCGGCCAATCAATCAACTGATCGTAGATTTAACGCATGTGCGCCGCTTGATTAATTTAATCATGTGTGATTGTTTACTTTGCAAGCGTAAACAACGTAAACAGCATAAATAAATAAGCCCAATCGGAGTCAATGATGAATGGATAATTAAACACTTACAGACAGACGTTTGGAAATTCAATTCCTTGCTGCTTATTGTTTTATTCGTTGTAAATTGTGAATAAAGCAACAATGGAAATTGAGACATTAGACAAACACATTGTATTACAAAAAAACAATATTGCAGTAGTCTTCATATCTTCAATATCGTAAGAATTCAAACTTATCTTATTTACTATTATGCAATTCACTTAAGTTGTAGATTATTTTTTTTTTTTTTAATCATTTTTTGAATTTATAGAACATTTGTATTCGTTTCATAATGCATTTTTTTTTATTTCTCGTTTTTTCTTGTGGTTTTCTTGAACTTAATTTGTTTGGTTTATACTAGTTGTGAAACCGGTATTTTATACGTTTAACATTTTAGTTCTCTGAAAATCTTACAAACGATTTAATCAGAAGGTTGCTGATGAGCCAAAATATTGTGAAATTAAGATCAAGGATGTTTAATTTTGAATTTTAATGATAAGTTTGAGTACCGCTCATGATTATGCAAAAATCAAATTAAGTGCACTACACTATTTCCTTTTAAACATCATAATAAGTATAGTCACATTCGTATTGCTTTAGATAAATTGCAATGGTAATTTAACCAGATTATTGTTTTGTATACACTTATAAATAAATACTCAAGCTGTGTTTAAAGACGGTTAAACAGAAAATAAACGTTCTTGGCATTATCAAATTAAAGTCCTTAAGTGGTATCATTGATTTACCGATTACCTGTGTACTTTTCGCAATACCAGAATTGCGTTTCAGGAGGGGGCTAAGTGCATTGACCAACCTCAATATCAACATTTCAGCCTTGAGGAAATAAATATTTGCCTTAAAGTTATTACACGGCCTCAAGCGTTTTGCTGTTGACAAAGAGGCAACAAAAAGGCCAGGGTCTCAACTTTTTTTCGGCGGAAAATGAAAAATGGGGTCAGTTCAGGTCAGCCTGTCAGGATTATGATAGCCTAGAAAAATCAATTTTATATAGGCACAGGCCGGAGTTTTGGGGAAAACCCCCCTGAGGGAGAAACTCCGCCCCTGGGCAACTTAATTACGGCTTGTTAAGTGGTAACGCAAAGAGTAGAAAATTGGGTGAACCAAATCTTTTGAAAGGAAAATTCCCATACAAGTCTATGAGTTTCCGGGTATTAATATTGAAAACTCACCTTGCCAGTCTTATCAAGGCCATCTTTGTTGTTCGATTCTCCGGCTATATAATTGACTTTCCTTTTGGCAGAACCTCTATAAATATATGCTATTCGAAATTCGTCAGTTTATTTATTTATGTCTATCCTTTTTGTCTTGTTGCAATTTTGGCAGTGCAGAAAGTAACGGTAACTACGCGAAGGGAGGACGAAGAGGAAGAAGAAGAGCGAGCGCAATTTCTTTTGTTGTCTGCCCACACACACACGAAACTGCACACCGACACAATAACAGTTATTCAGCCGGCACAACAACAAAGCTGCGCTTTTTCGATATTTCCTTAGTTAGTGGTTTTGCGATTTATTTAACTCGTTTGTTTACATTTTCCCACACGCACAGTCGGTATCTTCTCTTGATATTCTTGTACAACTTAGGACGACGAGCAATCAAGTGCATTTGGGGTAAAAAGTATTGCAATTGCAACTGCAGTATGGCCAATCAACCGGTCAATATAGGTGCACTCTTATTGTTTGCATTTCTTGTGGCCCGGCAGCGCTGCATATATAGTCGCTAAGTATAGTTCTGTTCGCGGTCCGCATTTATTATTATTCGCTTTAACTTGTTCGGCGCCCGTTCAGTGGAGATGGGGAGCCACCGATGACAACATCGATTTCTACATCAACGGTATCGATGTTTAAGAATTATCGGTAATATCGATGCTTGGTAACGCATTATCGATGTTTATACATCCCTAATTCAAATTATAAATTTGTAATTAGTGCCCCAATATTCGTGAAGCCTAAACATGATAACGATCGGAGATTCAGGGAATTTTTATACCCTTGCAGAGGGTATTATAATTTTGGTCAGAAGTTTGTAACGCAGTGAAGGAGACGTTTCCGACCCCATAAAGTATATATATTCTTGATCAGGATCAATAGGGGAGTCGATATAGCCATGTCCGTCTGTCCGTCTGTCCGCCTGTCCGTCTGTTTCAATACCGTTTGCGAGCTCAGTTTAAAAGCTAGCGATCTGAAACTTTCACAATCGTCCTAAAACATGTGTACGCAGATCAAGTTTGAAAATCGCCCCGATCGGACGTCTATATCCTATAGCTCCCATAGGAACAATTGGATATATCTTGCAAGACTTTATGATATTTCGCGCAGTGTAAAAGCTATTGACATTAATCTTTACAAATCGTATTATTTTATGCATACCTTGATCAGGGTAAAAGCGCGTGGCGATCGGACGTCTATATCCTATAGCTCCCATAGGAACAATAGGGTAAAATCGGTTAAAATTTAATGATTTTTAGGATATTTCGCGCAGTGTAAAAGCTATTGACATAAATCTTTCCAAATCTTATTTTTTTATGCGTACCTTGATCAGGGTAAAAGCGCGTGACGATCGGACGTCTATATCCTATAGCTCCCATAGGAACAATAGGGTAAAATCGGTCCAAATTTGATGTTTTTCAGAATATTTCGCGATGTGTAAAAGCTATTGCTGTACATTTTTTCAAATCGTATTTTTTTATGCATTCCTTCATCAAGGTAAAAGCGCGTGCTGATCGGACGTCTATATCCTATAGCTCCCATAGGAACAATACGGTGAAATCGGTCAAAATGTCATGTTTTTTAGAATATTTCGCGCAGTGTATAAGCTATTGACATACATTTTTCCAAGTCTTATTTATTTACGCATACCTTGATCAAGGTGAAAGCGCGTGCCGATCGGACGTCTATATCCTATAGCTCCCATAGGAACAATAGGGTGAAATCGGCCCAAATTTGATGATTATCAGAATATTTCGCGCAGTGTGTAAGCTACTAACATAAAATTTTCCAATTCTTATTTATTTACGCATATCTTGATTAGGGTAAAAGCGCTTGCCGCTCGGAAGTCTACATCTTAAAGGAGATAGGAAAAATTGTTAAAGGCTGCGAAAGTATCCCTTTTTTTCTATTTGTATATGACATTTTTCCAGTATAAAAGCAATTGACTTGAAACGATGCTAATCTAGTTTACTTATGTATACCTTATTCCTTTCGCTACTTTTTCACTTTTAGCAATTTCGTCAAAGTCTGCAAGGGTATTAAAACTTCGGCTTGCCGAAGTTAGCTTCCGTCCTCGTTTAAATACAAGTATGTTCTTAAGTTGTATCCTGGATCAGATATGAATGTTTACATTTATACCCAATCGAAAGCTTAACGTACCAACCTTAATTTTATTTGATTTTCACTTCATTCAATTGAAACAATGAGTTGTTAAATTCATTAGAGATAAATAAATTTGAATGTTTTAAAAACATTTTAAACACCGATAAGAAATCGATTTTTCCGCCAAGAACATTGAAGTTTCTCCACCTCTAAAAGGTGGTTGATATACTCGCTAGTTGCGGAGTGTGTACTCACTTACTGTGACTTGCTGTGGACGGTGTACTCGCTAACGGGAAAATGTTAACCGATAAGCCGTTCTAAGTCCTAGCACTTTTTGGCACGGAGCGCACTTCAAATTTGAAATGTATTTTTTATTTATATAAAATGTTATGCGCACTAAAATATTTAAGCCTTCTGCTGAGTCCATTTTTGATAATTTTTGATCCGGTAGTTTAAGCCATACGTACACGAACGAAACAAAAGTATTTATTAAAAATGTAAACAATTTTTAATTATTATTTTCTTTTCTGGTAATCAAATTCAATATTTATGATCCATGAAACATGTTTTTTTGCTATAAATATCTAAACAAGTTAATTTAGATTTTATGTTTTCGAGGCCTTAAGTTATTCTTAACGCCGCGTTTTAAGAAGGTTCGAAATCTATTTTTTTTAAAGGTCATTAATGTTTATAAACCAAATAGAACATTTAAATTGTTGTTAAACTGTGAAGTCCTGTAATAAATGTCACTTCGACAAAAAACCAAACTAGAAATTTGACACCTATTGTATTGTATTTTAAATATTCCCCATTTTGAACTATATTTGAACCAAAATGTGGGAACAGCTGGAGAGATATCGCAATCACTTTTTGCAAAACGAGATCAAGGACGTGCTGAAGCCCAGCTCCATAAACAGCCACCAGAATAAGGGTAAGGATAAACTTGGGAACGACCAGTTCATACCAATAAAATTCATTTAGAGTGGGCAAAAGCCATGGAGAAGCGTTATATTTGTAAGTGCGTTCCGTATTGCTGCACTTCGACCTCCACACACCTGCAGAATAGGGCCCAATTGGCCTACGGTTGGTTTGCTCTTCCCAAACTGATGAAGGAATTGGACAGCGATATTCCCTTAACCCACTGGAAGGCAGTCGTGTCCTTGACAGAGTTCCTCTTAAACCCACTGAACGCCCAAAGAGCCATCAATGAAAAGGATCTTGTGAGAAAGTGGGTTGGTCTCCTTATGATTCCATTTCACTTCTATTTATGTTTCCCCTGCCAACAGGTTGAAAAATGCCTTTATGCGAATGCGATTGAAGCTTCACAAGGAGGAACACCAGGAGGTGGAAATGTATCTCAGGATCTATAGTTAGTTGAGGTTTCTTCATTAGCTTTTAGACAATATAAAAGTCTTCTATTCTTTTCCTCAGATATACTCTCTCGTAATTTGGATGGAGCCGAGAATATTGCCAAACGCAAGTGTCTTAGGGATGAGTTTTACAAAATCATTAAAAATCAGGAGATCAATAAAGATGGGCTGGCATCAGAGATACTACGGAATTTGACAGGCAAACCAAAGGGTAAGCTTGGGTATTAAAAGTGCTATCAATTTATTAAATTAGCAGTCTTATTAACTCGTTAAATTAAATAGTCTCCAGAGATTCCAGATCAATTAAAAGGTTGCCTACAAAAATGGTTTCCTTTAAAACCATTTAAGTGATTTAGAATCTCTAGAGTTTTCTGATTTGCTTTTCTATAAATAAAATATATAAAAAATCTGTTATTTATTTCCATAGCTCTGGAAATATTTTTGGAGGATCCTGATAACTTTTTGGCCATGGCTGAGATTTTCCATCAGGATCCCTGCCGTCCGCACTATCCACTCCATTTGTGGCACCACCTGTGTCATCTGCTGGAAGTTGCCCCCGAGCAGGGAATCGAGTTGGGTTTCTTCGAGCTGCTCCACTCGAGGATCCTGAATCGCCTGTCCAACTTTTGGGACATGGCCACCAAGGCGTTTGCCTTGCTGCTCCGCTGTGCAGAGGGTCAGCGGCGTTTCGATGCGGTGGATGGAGTGAAGCTCCTTTACGACGTCTTTGTCCAACCGGATGAGAACCGCAGGCTGCTACTGCCCCTTCAGAAGGTGGAGAACTGGGAGTACACGGTCTTGGCCCTGGTCAATGGCCTTCATAGCAAACGGGCTCTGTGGCGCAGCAGGGAGTTCACCCAACTGCCCTGCTATGTGGGTCGTCTGATGCAATCCACGGAGGACAATCCTCGCCTGCAACTCTATTGCCTGAAGGCGTTCCGCGAACTGGGAGTGATGCCCTGCATCAAGCGCTACATCATTGCCAACTGGTTGGAGGACATCTGCAAGCTGTTCTGCCTGGATGCGGAGGCCGAGTGTGCCAGGGATTCGCTGGTCGATTGGCTGCGTCGGGATATAGCCGATAGCAGCTAGAAACACACAAATACTCGTTTCCGCTTTCTTCAGTATTTCATTTTATTTGAGTCCTTTGTTGGTTGCCAAGAAACATAGCATTTCCCCGCTTTCAAACCGCTTAGATAAATCCCAACCGTTTCGAGCTACCCCTGATGTCCCAAAGAGAAACCGGTTAACAGAGGGGTATTATTTTTAACTGCCGAGAGAGCTTAAATGAGAGTTCTCAGCGGCTGTCAGCTGTTTGCTTCCGTTGCAAAATAAAACAAATTGTGGTAAATATTTAACACCTCTTAAATCTAAGGATTACACTTCCAAATTCGCTTTATTGCTGGCAATAAAATGTAATAAAAATAAAATACACTTCCTGTGGCCATAAGTTTGTACTTGCCTTGACCCTGGTTGATATTTATAAGTACATTTGCATATTTATGGACAGATAAATGCAAAGTGCGAATTGTCAAGAAGGCAGGAAAATTTTCCAATTTCCGATGCCTGGCCATCAGCGACAATAATGAGCAGTGGCACTGCAAGGATGCAAGGATGCAGGGCATCGAGGATGCAGTGCTGCCAGGACGACAACCGCAGAGGCAACAACAAAAGTGGAAAAGTAACAACCACTGACCAGAGTAGCCACAACAACCACAGTTTGCGGTTCCTGCCAAGCCTTCAGTGCGCTGCTCTCCACCCATCTACATCTACATATATTCATATCTATCCCTACGTATATATACAAAACCATTTTTTTCGTATTACTTTTCTGCGGTGACAAACTTGGCAACGAGTTGCAGTTCCCTTTTTAATTTATTTGGATTGGTGGAGGGGGTGAGAAGGAGTCCGGCATTGTCCCGGTTTTCCTTGTGCCCGGCCCACATTTCGCATTCAATCGGCAAGTTTTGTGCCTTGTCATCGGTGGGATTCTTCTTGGTAGCAATTTTCCAAAGTCCCTGGTGCCCGACTCTTTTGTGAACTTTTTAATTACCGCTGCGAGTTTGCCTTTTTTTTGCACCATTTTAGAGTCTTTTCCTTCACTTTTTGCTCTTAGCTTTTTCCCATTTTTCAAGTTGTTTATGAAATATTTTATGGAAATTATGCAAAACTTGTTTACCAGACTTCATATTCAGCATTTCAGCCATTTGGCGCCTTCAAACAAAGTTCCTCACTTTTTGCCACTCAAATTAATTGCATAACAAATTGTGTTGATGAAGTGCAAGAATGCCGGAGTACATCTAACTAAAATTTGCTTGGCCATGAAGCATAGAGTGGTGTTTTGTTTTCTGGTTAATATACATGGTTGGTTAAACTGGCCCTCCTCATCAAGTTTTATTGTGTACCATTCGCAGGAAGTGCTCAATATTACAGAATAATCAAAAAGAATATTTAAAACTCTTAAATAGCATTTAATGGGGAATTGAAACAAATGAGTAGAAAACTTTGGTCACTTAATTTTACACTAACAAGTATTTATGAAGATACATCGAGCTCTATTTAATTAATACACATTTTAATGCTGGGTTGTATATTTGACTCAAGAATTATTTCTACATCACTTTAATAAACCAGTGTAAAAAGCATATTAAAAACTAAAAAAAGACTTCGAGATATAAACTAAAGGACTTGATAAACAGATAGATGAATGGAAAGTAAAAGACCGAACATGTAACTCCTGAACTGGTTCCATCAATGCCTTTGCCCCGCAATCCATTCCCAATTGGTGAACATCAGAGGGCCATTATTGGAGCATTACCATCCTAACGACGGCCATTATTACTGGGAACAGACGGGGACTTTTGGGGGCATCCAGTTGGGGGATCCATTTCATCGATGGCCCTGTGGCGTTCGCTTCGCCTGAGCAACCGTTACATCAGCCAGCACGTGCTCCTCCTGCTGCGTTTCCACCTGGCGCAGTTATACTACCTGGGACTGATGCGACTCCGCTACGAGGAGTCCCGGAACGAGGTGCATTTGACCTACTACAGCGTCACGGTGTCAAGGCTGATTGGCCTCTGGTTCGCCTTCTTCTTCACCTTGGCCCTCCTGGATCCCTATCCCCTGATGCTCCACCTCCAGCTGGTGGGGTTCACCTGCTGCCTGCTTATCCAGCCGAGAGGAGTTATCGAGGAGCGCACTAGGTTGGTGAACAGAATCTTGCGGGTTACCCCGCAACTCTATCGCCTCTGCAGGCGCAAGTTGCACTTGTCCTGGACCTTGGCTCTCCAGTTGCTCATCAAGCTGCTCACCTTCCGGATGTTCTACGAAGGACTCCTGGGACCGAGGGACACTAGCTGGAAGATGCTGTTCATTGGGCTCTTCGTGGTGCCCGTTTCGCTTGCCATCTGGGTGATGGATGTCGTATCGCATCTGATTAGCATCGTCCTTTCCCTGCTGCTCAAGTCCTTTGAGCTGGTAAACAACGAAATGGCTGCCATTGACGAAGAGCTCTGCTTGAAGATCCTGCGATCGGATTTTCGAGGTGTAAGGAGGCTACAGAAACGTCTGATTTCGCTGCAGCGCCTGCATCGATCTTATGTCAGGATCACCCAGCAGTTGATCGATTGCCTGAGTCCCCAGTTGCTTTTGATTGTCCTCTACAACCTGAGCTCCATTTACACCTTTTCGAGTGGCCACTGGCGGCGTGTCCTCCAGTTTGCCGTCATCGTGAACAGTCTGCGATCGCTACTGTACGCCCTCGATGAACTGGTGGCCACCACTGGTGCTCCGCAGGACACCTCCTGGATGCATGTGGCGCGGTTACTCCAGTTCGAGGAGGTCCTGGCCACCCATGGATGGTTAGAGCGAAAGGGCTTCCGATGGAGACTCCAGGATACCGACAGTTTTGGTCAGAGCGTGAGGCGCTGTTGCTTCCAAGGGAGGATAAAAGTTCTTGGCTTAGTCACGCCCAATAGACGACTCCTGTTCCGCATCGCCTTCGCCTTCTGCAGCCTCCTGCATCTGCACTACATGTGGAAGAGGTCGGCCTTGGTGGCCGAGAAGGAGATCTTCATCGGTTCGGAGCTTAGTTTGAAACCCAAACATTGAGGACGAATGATTGTAGCTGTATACAAAAGTAAATGGAAATAAGCTAAATAATTAACATATTTTATTATGTGTATTGAAAACACTAGGTCAAATATACTCTTTCATTGATAAATGGTAAATGGAAAATATTTATTAATTTACAAATACCAACAACAATGACCTAGCATTAAGTTTACTTTTTGAGCAAATCGAATAATTTAAACAGCGTTTTTGTTCACCGAAACTATTGTTATTTACAATAGAAAAACAAAGTCATAGTTAAGCAATTTAATAGTTAAAAAGTTTACAAAATTGCTTAAACAAAAAAGATATAGTTTTTTTAGAAAGATTAAAAAGTTTAAGTTTTTTTTTTGGTAAAGCGAGTAATTTATACAGCCGTTTTTACTTTCAATGGAAAAACAAAGTCATAATTAAGCAATTTAATAGTTAAATAGTTCACAATATTGTTTAGGGAATAATTTTTAGAAAGTTCCAAATAGTTTAGGGAGATGCTTTTAAAAAAATCCAGCAACTCGTTAAGTTTCGATGCGAAGGAAAATATTTTCTCTCATGATTAATGAACGCCAAAGCCCTTTGTTTATTAAACGCTAACGAAGTTGCTCCTCAGCAGGACAGGAAACCCTTCCAACTATGTAGTGCCTCTGGCAGGATATGCCCATTTCTCAAACGCTTTGATTAACTTTCTCCAGGAACTCTTGGGTCGGCCTCAAGACATTTATCATCTATTTATTGCACTCCAAATATTATTTGTTCAATGTAACACGCACTTTACAAGGTTGAGTTTGCTCCACGGGAACTGAAGAGTCTTTTGCTGGTGTGTCGGGTAATTTTAAATAATTTATGCATTCGCCCCTGCTGTAACATGCACAAAAATAACAAGGGAAGCTTCCTTATTTTCCGGGCCACCCCGCAGTGAGTTCCCGTACCCTGATATATGTAATTGCATGGCTGGCCGAGCACTTGAGGTGCCGGGTCCTGGGCTCCCCGGGTCCTCAGTCCCCCTCCGATCCTCACACATGCCCAACCCTCCATCCTTCCGCTCTGTTTTCGCCTTTCTTCCCCACGAGATGGGGATGCGGATCCATAAATCATTTTTAAAACATTACCTCAACGAATGCGAATCCGTAGAAGTATTTTATGTATACAATTTTGCACCTCCTAAAGTGGCACAAGATTTATAGGAAAGTGGCTCCTGGGACCCACCTCCAAATACTCTCCAGGATTGTCACAGTAAGGTTGATTAAATTTTTGAACTGACTGTGGCACAGTTATGCCCCTCGATTTATGGCCACTTTTTGGTCTTATTTTAAGCAATTTCTATTTAGTTTTTATCTTCCATTGCCGAACAAGCATTGAAAATCAATTAAACTTTTGTGTGCACAAAGAAAAAGAGTTACTAAAAATAAAGGTATAGCAAACCATTTTAATTGATTTTAGTGGGGTGATAAAATGAAACATTTTATGGAAGCTTTGACTTTGATTTAAGTTTAAAGTTTCGATTGTTCAGGACAAACTTAAACTTCTTATCCGAGGTATTTTATCTGTTCCACGTCCCTTGGGGTTCATTCACAATAAAAGACAATAGAGTGTGACAAGTGGCGGGGAAATGGGGAAAAGTTTCCCCTTCGCACTTGTTGTAACCGAAAGAGTTTACCCTATGCTGAAAAGCCAATAATTTGCTTTCGTCCAGCCCAAATATAATGTAAGTTATGCCAACCACGAAATTGGACGCTGGCGGGGAGGAAAGCAGATAAATATTAAATGGGGGAATATCTGGTGGAGCTGAAAAGAAGGGAGCACAGCCATGGGCAACCGGCTTTTGTATAAATCTCTTTAATTTATTAGATTTCATTAGACACTTTGGCGTTGACTCTGGCCGCGGGTGGTGCCAGAATTCGGTGGATCCACCGAAATTTTTATATTAACAAGCTCGAAACATGACTTTCCCTTGTGCCGTCATAAAAAGTAATAATGTGGCCGTAAAATCGTTAGCCAGGGGGCAAGAAAACGGCGAAGATAAAAAGGACAACGTAATGAAGGTGGAAAGCGAGCAAAAGTGTAGCATACTTTTCTGGGCAGGCCCTTTTTTCTGTTTCGTGGTCTTACCAAATCAATGTCGAAGAAATAATGTGTAAATTTATTTATTTTGTATAAATAACCAATCAATAAACAAATATATAATTTTTCAAACATATACATTATAACTTTATTTTAGTTTTAAATAACTGCCTATTCAAAATTTAATTATGTAGATTATATTTTTTATATATTCAGTTTTTGTGAGGTAATAATTTCAGTTGAGTTTATAAATTAAACAAAATAATATGTAGTAAACAAGGTCAAGTGGGTTCGAAATGCCAAGCCAAACTTAAAACACATTTTAACCATATCCCTGGTCATACTATATATTTGCAGTTACGCCACGCACATGCATGTATAATTCAGGATCACTCCAAATAAATTACACACTCAACGATGTCATATCCATACACACACACACACATTTGGTGAGAGTCAGAAAGGGAAAGGAGAAAGGAGGAAGGCAACAACGTTGTAATCAACAAAATTACACTAAAATACAAAGCAAAAAAAAGAAGGAGAAATAAATTTGACACGAATGCGTCGGCGAGGATGACACAAAAGCGGCACCTACCCAAAACCCATACCGCCCCTTCTACTACTCCCCTTCCCCCCTCTTTTACCCGTTTTCACCTACCCCCATTTCTCCATGAAAGCCAAAGTAAAAATGGCACAACGCTCGAAGCCAAACAATGTAAAAGTTGCTGCCAGGACATGACGAGGCGAGCAAGTGGCGTGCTCCTGTAGGTGTGCAACTGAGTCAGTGCACGGCAAAAAATCATATAGATTTTGAAAAATAATAATACAGTTCTTCATATAATGAAAATAAATTGAATTTTTTTTAAATATTAATATTAATTGTCATTTCTGAAACAATCTTGGAAATGTATTTCATACTTAAATATTATCAATTTAATTAACTTTTATTGCAAAAATTAATAAATAAATAAATATAATTATAATTATATAATTTAAACATACTGTTATTAAGATCGTATAGGGATTTAATTTGGAGTGACTCCTTACTATGCTGTAAGATTTTTTGATTCCGATTACTAAAAATGTTTTAAATTTTATGCATGTTTGTTTATTTAACTAAATTAGTTATTCATATTTCATTAAAAAACAAGTTCATACATTTTTTTAAAAGATATTTTTTATTTGATTCTAATTGGTACATTTTTTTTTTTAATTTTAAAATTTTTTGTTTATTTAAATAATATATTCATATTATTCATACTCTTAGTATTCATATTTCCTTAAAAAACAAGCGCTTACCATTTTTTTTAAAAGATTTTTTTTAGCCAAAAAAAGCTGTGTGCATATGGACGAGGGTGTTTGCGTGTGTGGGTGCGAGTGAGTGTGTGTCATGTGCGACACTTTGTAACATATTTTTTCTCATTTGTTTTCACGTGCGTCTGTCTGCGTGTGAGTGTTTGCCTCTTTTTCGGCGTCACTCGTCAGTGTCTTCCTTTCTCTTTCCCCTCCCTCCACCACAATGTCACTTTACGTGTTTGCGTGTGTGTGCCACACAAACACAACACAAACACATTGAGGCCCACTTATATGACCTCCAACCCCCCACCCCTCGAGTATCAATCAGTTAAAAATATTTTACGCTGCCAAAGGTTGCATGCCAACCTCGCAGGGGTGTTGCCCCCATTGTTGTTGTAATTTTTATGGCTACATTTATAACATTTATTTTGTATTTTTACGAGCTGAATTGTCTTTTGTTGCTTTATTATTATGTCTCACTTCGGCTTTTTATGAGAGTTTTCCCGTTCCAAGCAAACCAAAAAAGAGACAAAAAGGAAAGCCTTTCCCCAACTGTAAGGGAAAACCAAATTGCCAGGCAGGGTAATGACATTTTAAGTGTGCCCTAAGGGGAAAAGGGGTCTACAATATCAGGAAGACCCTTCATAAAGGCCAAACCATAATTTGGTAATAACTTGTTTCACCTGCCTCAGGTAGGATTTTTTAGTAATGTTTGTTTGAAAAATCCGTTCTAAATTTTAAAGGTTTGCTTACTTTCCATTTATTTGACTTTGAGTTGTGTATGAGAATACATTTTAAAATAAAATTTAATTTCGGACCCCTTAAAGTAATCTTACAACTTTACTCTTTCCCATCTTAAGACAGTTTGAAAGTCTTTAATTAACTTTTCAATGCAACAAATCATTGGGATTTTAAGTTGAAAAATGTTGCTTTACTTATGCCTAATTAACTTTAAATTTTGCAAAGGTATTTTTTCTATGTCATCGCTGCCATTTTTCACGGCAGTATCTAATTTCTGGATATAACTGCATTATTCAAGCTCACTTAGACAATAGTTGTCCAGCAGTTAGAGTTCTCACTTACCCTGCTTTATTTTCTCACACTCCCCGAGGTACTTTAGAAAATGAACCAAACCCAGAAAAAATCCCTAACAAAGCAAAGCATTTTATAATAACTTTTCAACAATGGAATGCTTTGTTTTCACTTTGATTAAAATATTTTTTTTCTTTGCTTCTATATAGTATGCACAATATATAGCATAGATAAAATGAGAGTCATAGAAAAGAGATGCGGCGGGGGAAGCCGAACCTAGTTATAAAACAAATTATGCATTATTAAAAACACAAGAGACCCAGGAAGGGAATGGACGAGGAGCGTAATGCAATGCCAGTTGGAAGAAATGGAGAAGAAGGAGGACATGGAAGGACTGACAATGAAGCCGCAAAAACTTGGCAGCCAACAGCAAAAAAAAAGAATATATAAAATATACAAAAAAAAAAATAACCCAGGCAACGAAGAACGGAATGTTAAATTTTATAAATAGAGCATTGAACAACAGAGAGTGACGGGGAAAAGGGAGGCCCAAGAGATTGAAGTGCCAGCAAATTTATGGAATACGTACATTTCCTATTTTTCCTATTTTCCTC